GTGCGAATCGGTGATATGTTTGTAATTCGTGTCGAATTTCTTAGCATAGAATATATAATTATTTTATATATTATGTATTTAACTTGATTGTGCTTCAGTGTCTCTTATGCATAATTATTTTAAATATAGGTTTGTGTATCGGAATATGCTAAGACCCTAGTAAACTGGTGGTTTAATTGCGTATTGTACTGTCCTGTTGTTCCTAGATGTTAGCTGTATAAGGGGTTGTTTCAGTAGCCCCTAACTCCACTGTCCCTGCATTGTCCTGCCGTTCTGTCTAAGCTTATAGGAAGTACTGCGCCTGAATCATCATTGGTAATGAACGCAGTATTGCTGGAGACAAAATTACTCGAGACTGGCCATGATCTTTAAGGTTGTAGTTAAATACTATGGAGCTATGACCCCGTTTTAACTGCGTATGCGTATCTTTGCACGTACTTCTGTCTATTTAAAATAAACTTCTAGTTACTCATGTACCGGTTCATTAAAATAGCTGCTTTCTCTGTGGTACTGACTGCTATGTTGTGATATAACTGGATTTGAGCATTGACGTCAGCAGTTATTCGGTAATTCATCACCAGTATGTTTCGTGCATTACCATGCATGTCTTTCGCGCCATATTAATTTTTCGCTTATCAAATAAGAATTACTATATAAACTTGTATGTTGAGCATCAGTAAGCAAAATCTAATTCGAATTTTTTAGCCCTAACAGATTCATGCTCAGCTGTCATGGAGGAAGACTCAACTTGGGGTATAGCTTATGCGTATTTGCCTCTTTACCGCAGCTCATAATTGTTTGATTTGCAGATACGGAAGATTTCAAACCACCTGTGCCTCCCGTCTTAGCCGAATGGGCCGAAGAAGACGTCGAAGTAAAGGTGCGTCTCTGCAGCAGTGATTTTTCTGTGTTCGTACTCCGCTCTACTCTGGCCTTTTATGTAGGAGAACTGGTTTGACGAAGACGAACCTGAAACGAAGCCCGCTGAGCCAGCACCGACAAGTGAGTTCCTTATTGCCTGTATCATTGAAAGTAAACTTTAATTATTGAAATTTTCAGAGGCCAAACCAGAAAAGAAGCAAAAATCGAAACCGAAAGCGACCAGCGAAACATCTGCTGAAACAGACAGCGTAAGCCAAATTCTGTTTTTGAATTTGTAAACTTATTAACGCAGATTCTCATATATAGAGTCAGTCTCAGCTTACGTATGAGTTACGTTTTGCAAACCTTTACCAACACCGGTAACGCCATCAGGACTGAACGAATGAGAAAAAGGAGATAAATAGTATTCATTGCAAAGTTTGTTTTAATGCTAATATATGAAGGGACTGCAGTTGCAGACTGTGCGGCGATTCATGATTGAGGGCAACAAACATTACCGATGTGTTCTCTATTCGTAGCTCTTCTTCGTATGATGTTCTTGAGGTTAGATAAGTAGCAAAAATTTTCCTGTGCTAAGTGAGGTCCTACATGCTAAGCGCTACAATTCAGGTATTGCTGCTGTTTTACAGCCAATTCGATCATCTTTTCTTTTAGGACAAAGCTCGGCTTTCAGAAAAAGATGTGGAATTGATTCAGAAAACATCCGATTTGAGCATTGCCAAGGAAACATTTGGTATAATTTTATTCTTGTACTGTCTGTAGTATAGTATACTATGATTTATAAGGTCTATCAGAAAACGCATCGACGTCTATTGACAAGTTTGTTCCTCAGAACGCTGACGATTTCGAAACGTTGCGAACGATGATATGTGATAAGCTGAAGCCTTACGAAGTAATGGCATTACATTAATGTTCTAGCATTTAGCAGAGAAGTATCTGGTTTTGTTATTACAGGTTATCACCAGGTGTATAAATATATTCCGTTTGTTTATTTGTTTGTTTTTTATGATGTATCCCGCATCAGTGGCCATTAGATTACTGTACTTCTAATTTGTCCTCTAGAAGAACAGAAGTATCAAGGATTTAAAACAATGCCGTGCAAACTGCAAACTGCTGGTTAATGAATGCTTTTTGTGCAATGATTCATTTTCAAGTACGCTTAGTCACATTTGCGAGGTTCGCAAACTTTGATGGGGAGTAATTTTTTGACTGAGATAGATGAGTTTCCAGGCTGCTCAAGGTAGGAAATCATAGATAGATATAGAAACTGATATTGTCCTTCCGTATTATGTGTCTTCGATTTAATTTTGGTCTCTCTGTATGTTCAGTGATTTTTGCCATTGACCTTGATATTCTAAGCCAATACATAAACACACCGTTTATTCGCTGAACGAAGAGTGTCTAATCATGGCCTATATGTTGCGAGGTCTAAAAAATGGTTGGTGGATTATAGTAGTGAATGCAGAGATGAATAACATCCGTCGCTCCTCACGGTTAAGATTATTAAAATCCGTTGAATTTTTTACTGCGCATACTATTACTGTATATTAATGTATTCATTTCTTAAAACGTAAGTAGATAATTTTCTTTTAAACTGTGTTATTGGCAGCTCATTTATGATTTTGGGACTCGTCCAATTCAGTCATGCGACTGCTAGAAATGAGACATGAATGCTGGCTTGTAGATTGTTTTAATTTTTATTTTTTTAAGAAAATGGACCTTTTCCCGGGCTTCATCGGTAAGCTGTTCACGGAACTCTGCTTAGACCGTAAGTTTTATGGCCAAACATGTCATGTCTTACATCTCTTGTTGCTTTACAGTGGATTCCGAGCACGTGCGCAAATTTAGCAAAGAGCTTTCTGCATTGGCAGGTGAACTCAGCAAGGCCGAAAAGGAACGTGAAAAGGTGGGTTGCATTGTCTAACTATTTTCTATGTCTACGTTTTTCCTTTGCGGTAATTGTTGGTCAGTATATTCCTTTTTGTTTACGTGTGTTTTTGAGGTAGATATGATGTACCAATCCAATATTGTTATTTAGGGATTAATTATGGGGTGGTTGAAAATTCTCTCATTCAGATTTGTTGTAAGAATGACTGGGCAGACTTGTATGTGCGAAAAATTCACGGAGAGTATCAGGTACGAATAGTGGCAAGAGGTAAAGTTTCACTGGACCTGTGTGAACGACACATTTTCGAACTTTGGTTCACTTTTTGGCATCTTTATATAAAGATAGTTGGGCCTTATGGCATCAGGTTTTTTTTTCAGAATGTTGTTCAATTCCATCTGAGTAACTCACCTTTCATTGTTTTGATATTTCATTTGATTTTCACTGAGACTGATAAATGAATATCCAACGTATAGCTGTGAAAATTATCTCACTCTTTATTGATCGCATCTTGACGAAGATCAGCACCACGAAATATAAACTTCATAAACAGAAACTGCTAATCAGTGGTACTCGCGGAAATGCAGTATCCCAGCTTTCATAGTTTCCATTACTTTATTTCTGTCATAATAGCCTTTATTCATTTCTGGCCGCTACTGCTAGCGCAAGAATCCGAGAAAGTTTTCGTTGTAGTT